AGACCTCCAGGGTTTTGTCATGTTTGCCGTCTATGTGTTCCACAGACTGAACTATGAGTTTCTCAAAGCAGATGAAAGTCTGCCTTAAGACTGACACTGAACAAAATCCCTGTTTTTTTTGGACTCTGTAAGTCAAAGTGATTGATGTAACAACCCTTCTGCTTAGCTTTCCAAATCTTGGACTGGGTTGTCCATCTTGCAGTACGCTACATGTACAGCATACTCATCCGGATTCCTCGCCTAACATCCTACATTCTGCTTCAAAATAAAAGTGATCTGAAAGTGATTGTGTTAAATTCTATTTTGAGCTACACACAATAAAATCTCTTTTCCATTTACTCGTTTTTACTCTTTCTTTTCATTTTCCAGACCTCAAAACAATTTCAAAAATACTGAAAATACACTATTTGATTAGGGTTCGAGGAAATACAGAAAAGTTCCTGCATCAATATCTTCTTACTGATTCATCTACAGCTACAGCCCCTTCCTCATCTGCATGCAATTATTATTTCTCCACGGTAGAAATAGGTATAATAGCTCAGGATAGCTGGAAACTACCAAATTAACACAAGATGCAGTGTGTCCCCTGCTGGATAACAAGTGGAACTGAGCTAGGGTTTGCAGTGTCAGTCCCAAAAAGGCTGTCTCATTGTAAAAATCACAATCCTACATTTACATGTCTGTCCCTAGATTCAGGTTCTCTTTGAGTATTTTAAGTACCGCCTGCTCCAGTGACTCCAGTGTAAGAGTCTGGGCTCAGTTGTCAGCAGCGTGAATCAGATCAAGTATTTATCTTGCAAATTTATAGTTACTTCAGTGTGATAAAGTATGAGAAGTCTGTCTATGTTCATTGCAAGATCCAATCAAAATCAACAGAGTATGTGGTCACAAATTTTTTTTACAGCGGAGTCCCTGCAGGAATATCTTTGAAGCCAAAGCATCCAATAACTCCATCAATACAATTTTACTGCTCGTAATCGCATAACCTCACCAAGAGACAAACATCGCCAATGAGTTGATGCAAGGTGAGGTGGAAGAGAGAGACTGAGCAGTCCACCTGGGGCAACTTTTACAACTTCTAATGACAATGACACCTTTAACTTGCTTCCCCCCCACCCGACGATGCTGTATCAAACAATTTGCAGCGACATGTCCTGTTTTATGGTAGTAATAACATTGCTTCTCTGACTTGGCGGAGCACCTTTAGGTTTATATAGCTTGGAGTATCTACTGATCATAACTGCTTGTTGTTTCCTTAGCTTACTTTGACTGGATGTTGCAGTGAACAAAGAGTTCAAACAAGAAAATCTTTAAAGCTAAAAAAAACCCCCAATAAATCAACCAATATCATTTACCATGAATGTTACAGCCAGTCTTGCACTTTGAGAGATATTAATATGTGAATCTTAGACTACTTTTTATTATATGCTCTAATAAACTGCCCAATATTTTAATTTAGTCATATTTTATAAACACAAACCCCAGTTTCCCACCTAAAATAAAAAAACAACACTTTCATCAGTAGTTAGTTTGCATTTATTCACACAAAACATAATACATTTCTTCAATAAGGCAACACAATACTGTATATACATACAATGACTCATATGTATACCATGTTTTAAATTTATGTTACTTTGTCATTCTTTACTGTCACTACCAAGTGTAAATAAATAGTTTAGCAAGTCATGTAAAAGAGAGCCAGATGCAAAAACCTCAAAGTCAAACTGTACATCCAACGCAATGCTCCTTTACTTCCTGTAATATGTTGTCGTTGCCAACCTGTTTGAGCTGATTTCTGAACACAGCTTAATGGTCCATTTACTTTCTGAAATAAAAAAAAGTGTACGGAAGCCCAGAGAGCTCAAAATACTGCAACTTACTTTGGAGCAACTTTAGAAAATATTCATCAAATATTCAAATCTGACAGATTTAGCAAAAATAATAAAAAATGATAGCAATTACTCATGCATTAGGATACACAGAGGCCGCTGCAAATACAATGAAAATCTTTTTAGGGATCATTAAATATTGATGAGCATACCGTAGCTTGTTGCTTTTGAAGGTGAAAGATGATGTTAGTGTCATTTAAGTTGTGTCACAGTTTCATATTCTGTTCATATCCAGGTTTCTGCATTTATTCTGACGGCATTTCAGCAGGTGGTTGTTTTCTCACATTGATACATGCTGAAAAATCTTTTAGTAGTTTGCCTGCGTTCTTGCGTTTTCATTAGTTGCCTCGAATTGAACTCTTTGGCTCACCGTAACACTAACCAGCGAAATCAACCCGTTAATCCTTCAGCATCGGTCAAAAAACAACAAACAAAAAACAACAAGAAAAAATCTCAAATGTAAACCTCTTCACAAGCTGACATCATAAGAAGTTGCTGGAGTTGGTGTCCTAAATTATGTGATGTGTTTTCAGTGTGACGTGAGCATGCTGAATGTACCCCACCCACTGACGTGAAGTGAAAATGCCACTGTTAGCTCCCATTCTCTTCAAGACTGACAAAAATCGTACGATCAGTTACAAAAATATAATTCTACTCTGCATTAACAAATGACACAAGTAATTAGTTCTGGTTCAGAAGACAAAGTTTTGAACCAGAAACTATGTGGAAATTAGAAAATGACATCAAGCAACAATACTGTAATTATTACCACTGTGTACAAAGCACACACAATGCCGCACACTTCACTATGATATATGAGCAGTACTAGATGCCGCTCTGTTTTAGTCTCCTTCTGTGCACTTGATTGTGTTTTATGTCCTCTTGTTTTTCCTGCTTGCCTTTGCACTGCTTGATAAAAAGTTGGAAATCGAAGCTCCAAATGCTGATTAATTCATGACTTATATGTTCACACTTTTTTAACACTCTGTAGGATGAACTTTCCAAATAAAGTTCTTAATAACTGTATGTATTTACTGCATTAACAGTAAATCAATAAACTATTTATAACAAATTATAATGGAGCTGTAGCTGATTTAAGTCAGTATGCAAGTGTTGACTAAAGTCTTTGTCACCAACTAGGAAACTGAAAACATTTTAGCAACACAGTATAACACAAGTGTTAGCCTAGATAATCCGATAGTTTCAACATAATACACACTAAATGTAAACAGTAATTGGAGGATTTATAATCCACTTTGTACAATACTGTTTGAAAGTCTTAGAGCACTCGTTTTTTTATATTGCAATATGGGAAAGAAGTGATTTAAAACCTGTGCAAACATACATGGAAATTCAGCATGTAAGGCAAAAACAGGGTTTGTACAATTCTAACAAGCTTTAAAGTCAATATTTGGTATGATCACCTTTATTCTTTTACACTGTATGAAATCTCTTAGAAATTCTTACTGGTAATTTCTTTAAGTACGCTTCAGTAATAGTTCTCCAGGCTTCATGAAGGTAATTCAAAGTTCTGGTTGGATGTTGGCTGGTTTTTGTTTCATTATCTTTCACAATGATCCCACAGGGCTTTAATAATGCTGAGGTCCAGACTCTGGGTAGGCCAATCCATGACTGATAGTGTTTCACAGGGTTTTTTCCATTAAAGTTTTTTCCATCAAAGCTTTTACTGCATTGGCAGTGTGTTTGGGATCAATGTAATAATGAAAAATGAGTCAAATCAGGTACTTTCCAGATGGTACTGCATGGTGGATCAAAATCTGACGGTACTTTTCTCCACTCAGAATTTTTGGATAAGATCCCCAACACTTCACCCATACTCACTGTTGTGTCTTTGTTCTGACCTCAACCATATATAGTGACAAATATTTGAACCACCACTGATTTTCAGTCCAGTTCTTTGGTAATTTGGCATGCCTCAACCTTTTCTCAGCTGCCGTTAAGTTGCTATTGAGGCTTCAGTGAACAGTAGATGGATCAATAGATGTGTGCGGTCTTTGCAGGACTAATTTTTTTAATCTTTATTTCTTACGGGCATGAGCTTCACACATTGTTGATCTGCTGTAGACAGTTTTGGGGTTTTTTTAGGCCTCTGCTGTTATCCAGTGTCCTTTTAAGAACGCACAGTGTACCATGCTGAAATATGCCAATTTTGGGGGCGAATAGCTTTTTGAGGATAAACATGTTTTTGATTTTTTTTGTTAAGCTGTCTGTTATATGTAGACACAATACTGGTTTATCCCTTGAGTTAGGACTTAGTTAATGTTTATGAGTAAATTATTCAAAAGTTGGTGTTAAGTGGCTTCACAAACAACAAGAAAACATTAATTTGAAAATGCTCACATGCAAGAACTGGACTGAAAATTAACAAAAAGACAAAGATAGAAAGGATGGAGAACTATTGCTCAAGACCACTTTAAAAATGACTAGCAAGTCTGGGTCCATATAAAGAAGTGAGGGATGGCTCAAGACTTTTGCACAGTATTGTAACTATTAACATATGTGGACATGAAATAGTATTAGAAGTGTGTTATATTGTGTCTATAAATAATTATTTGCTTATACAACACTTATGAACTCTTCATATGAGCGGATATATAAGCATATCTTAGTGTGTTGTAGTGTTTCATTATCAACATATGAGCGTATGATAAGGCAATGCAGTGACTATGATTGAAAAAAAGTTCACATGATTTATGTCTTTTAATTGTGTTTGATGTCAGGGCTTTGACCCCGACTTTAACAAGCAGCGTGACCTTAAATATAGAGATTTTGCCCTCAGTCTCTCAACATACAAAAACACACACAGACTTAAAAAAATCTGCACACACAGACACACACTTACAGACACCTACATTTGGCAAGAAACACTTAAACAATTTCATTAATCCTTTATATGGTAGAGTACGTTCACACTGCGTAACAGGCCTATGAAAAGAGTGTAGTGGTGTGAAGAAAGAAGCAGCATCAATGCTACTCAGTTAACTGAAGCCACAACAGATATATGACTGTGTCATCATGTGTGGACACCCTTAAGAAAAAGAAAATGCTTAAATGCAAATATTCCAACTTCCCAAATGTAACCACACGTCAGTTTTCTGGTCTTTTATAATAACATTTTTTAAATTTAGTTACACCTCACCATCTCTTTTCTATATTATCATTTGGACTCTGGAAAGCTATAATTCCTACTGATAAACGTTTTGTCCCATGTATGACAAACAAAACAAAGTGAATAAGGGAACATCGTTACACATTACCTGCTTCTGCGCTATACATCTTACATCTCAAGCTTTCTCACATGTCTAATTCTTTTTAAATTAATCCATTGCATATGAGATATATTAATATTAATAAGACCACGATGAGGAGCACGGTGTGGAAGTGATTACACTGTACTGTACATCTGTACACATGGAGTAGCAGGCAGTATCGGAGTGAACACAGTATTTAAAACTGGCTACTTCGTTCTTAGTTGCCGTGGAAACGGCAAGTGTCTCATGCTTCAAGTTGGACTAAAATGTAAACATTCATTTGTAGATTTTGATCTTTTCATCTGTGTTCATGTCCACCTTTATATGGCAAACAACAAGAAGAGAAAATCTGCAGTCTGCTCCGACAGATGAGATTCTCTCATTTCATCTCTTTCAGCTCTTCCGGGAGAACATTTCTCTACCAAACCCTGACTTCTGACCTCTCTATCAGGCGATAAAACATATCTTTCCTATCCAGCATCACAAACAAGTAAAAGCCTCCAAGGTTCTGAAATGTTTAAAAAAAAATAAAAAATCAAAGTAGCCTTTTCCACATATTCGCTAAATTCATCAAAAAATTGAGCATATTCGTCCTTGACAAACACATGCATGCATTGCAAACACACGCACGCACACACACATCTCAGCTGTAGTTGTAGGTGAAGTTATATGAGCTAGGCTCCTTTGGCACAGGAGGCGGCGCTTCCGGGATCGTGATGTTCTCAAGGTCGAGGAGGCGGAGCTTCATCTCCATGCTGATGAGAGTATCTAGGTCACTGCGTGTCAGGTCACTGCCCATCTCTCTGCCCAGCAGCGCACACAGCCCATCAGTCCAGATACAATACTGCACATATGGACACACAGAAACATGAAGGTGAAACACAGCCAAGTCTATATGAGGGAAAACATCCAAGGAGAGTTTTTTGGTTTTTTATATTAGCTGATTTCTGACAGCAGCTTTTAGACTTTTAGCTGAAAGTTATACAACGAACACCCGGACCAGCCTCTTACGCTACTTTTGAAATATTTTTTTTGTTTTACAATAATAAAAAAACCTGCATTAACACCCATTTTATCACCTTTTAAAGTCAATATAGACAATGTATTAGCAAACAGCTGACAATTTACATAAGTGGCAAACACCGAACAACTTGGACTTCATTTGGAAGTGTTTCCATCCACCTGGCAAAAGTAAGTGCAATATTAACTCACATTCTGCTTTACACCAATTGCCAAGGGAAATATCTGGCTCTTTAGCTGCTGTGTTCACCAGCTGGTTGCTAACTTTATCTGTCTGCCGTTTAGTGCTGGGAAGGTAACATACAGCAAATCTGTCAGAGCTTATTCAGCTGCCTGCTGTCGCTGGAAATGAGGATGATGAGAGCTGTGAGACTAAGGCAAATCAGTAGATTTGCTGACTGTAAAACAAAGTAAAGAAGTTAATGATGCTAAAGTGTTCCACAAGGATGTGCAATTCAGGGGGAATTAAAGCTAATTCTTTCCAAGCCCGCCACACAAACAACCAGGTTTTAATAATAGAAATACTAATCAGTGCAGATTTAAGTTTTCACATGTGCCAAACAAAAGGAAGAACAGCTGTCGTGTTATCGTGCACATATGAGCTTACCTCGTATTTGTTGGGTGCAACAAAATTAAGTGTTTCATCGGGATCATAGAGGACAGAGAAGGCCAACTCCAGCACCTCCTGAGGGAATCAGCAGGTCAAACAGAGTTTCTACACCGAGCGGCAGCACAGAATTAAAGGGCAGCTATGAGACTAGAATGGCAATTAAAAAGAAAGAAAATGACACTACCTTGTTCTGTTTTAGAGCACTTTTCTCCTTCATATGAGGGCAGTCCTTCCCTGTCACCACAGACTTAATATCAGAGACGGGGACTGGGGAAAAACAGAAGAAACAAACACATAATCATATTCACCTATTAAGGTCAGCCTTGTGACGGACGCGGCGTGCTCCGCTGGTGACAGTGTCATTGTCTGTGTTATGACAGACTTATTATCAGGCAGATGGAACCACTATAGTGTCTTACTCTTGTCACTGAGTAGCTCAAAAGGCACTTCACCCTGAGGTGACTCATCCAAGTCCCCGTAGTGCAGCACTTTGTGATTCAGAGAGAGTCTGCAGAACCAAAACTTTTCTAGATAAAAGAAGGGGACAAGGTGCATAGTTTACAATCAGCGCTCATTCATAAGAGCAAAGCGATTGCTCTGATGCTGTACTGTACCTTGCCTTCGACGGTTGCCCAGTTTACGGAAGCAGCTTCCCTCGCACAGCCGGTTGAGTCGCTGTTGCTTGATGAGCTCTAAGATCTCGGGCTGAATTCTCTCCCGCAACTCACTGCAGCACAAAAACGCAAAGAACACAGTTCGGATAGGATTTAAAACTCCTCAAATTCTAGCGACCACAGCCGAGTACACAAGCATCGTGGGAAAGTCCATGTTTTCGTGGGCCCAGTGGCACCTACTGTGACAAACATGGGTTTTAGGACAGAGAATGACTTAAGATTGGACAGTCAGAGCAGTGCAGCTATATGGGTCATGGGTCACTCTAAAACAGTGATCCATGCCTCTATCACAGCTCTGTCTTTGTACATTGGTGAGTGCTCCCTGTCTCGTTTCAAGCTGGTGCAACTGCTGGATTTTAACTGGAACATGGAAGAGTCAGCACATTACTCCTCTTTTATCTTCACTGGTCTGAGTTCATTTTAAAATGAAGCCTGTGCCTCCTTATTGAAGTTCAATAAGGAAGATCTGTAATCACTCATCTGCCTGCTTTCCTGGGTGTTCAGCTGCTAGTCTGTTCTTCACATCACTACCATTTTCCCACGCTATCAATCTCAATACAGACACCATTACTGCAGTCCAATCCTCTTCTTGCCGGGTCTTTCAGCCAATCAGCTTCCACTCTGTGCGTGGAGGTGTAGAGGGAACAAGCCTTTTGCAGGTGCAGCTTTCAAATTGTGGAGTTCGTTGCCACTACACATCGGACCGGCCTCTTCACTGGCCATTTTCAAATTTGCTCCTAAGACGCACCTCCTCTGCTCGGCTTCGAGCCAATTTTTTTTTTCATTTATTAAATATTTTATTATAATGTATTTTTATTCTTATGTTTAGCACTTCAGACAGTGGTTGCTGTTTTTAAAGTGCTTTATAAACAAAGTTGGCTTGTCCACCAGATAAAGACGAAAGAGATGCCTCTTCTGGGAAACACTATGTGAGTGAGGTTTACCTCCAGCACCCGCCTATTCTTGACCTTCATTTTGTCATCAGCAGCAACAATGTAAAGCTTCATGGTCATATCTTTAATGCTATCATGTTGACATGTGTCCTAAAATGTCCAAACATGTACACACAACCCAAAGAACTCAAAACTGCCTTCGCCCTGACTTTGCAGTAACGCCAAGTGCAGCAGGTGTTTCTAGGATCAGACACCACAACAGTCTGACAGACTTGCGAAGCAAAGGGGGAAAAAAAATTACAGCCACATTCTCAAGGCAGGTAATGAGAAAGAAAAGTAGTGTGGACACAAACTGACATGATGGGTGGAGACTGGAAATCATCCTGGCTCATTCGTTCTGACTGCCGCAGACGCAGAATCTCTGAATAGTTGAGGCCTCGCAGCTTAGTCTTCAGCTGGTCTATGGACGACGGTTTCATGGCCAGAGCTCTGGTGATCTGCTCACGGACCACTTGCATCACCTGGTGAGGGTTTAACCAAATATACACACAAAAGACGAGTAAGAAAAGATGACATACTCTCCCGAATGCTAACATGGGTACAGTACACAGTAGAGTAGTAACACTGGCTTTTAATGAACCCTCATTCCCCAGGGAAGAAGCTAAAACTGCTGACTCAAATATGTTTAAAAGGTATTAATATTTAAAGCACTCTATACACAAAACAGCTTTGTGTATCCCTGTTCATTTCATTAAATGTCTTTCGAGGTAGTAACTGTCATGCATTATTTAATAAACCGAAAACCTTTCAACTGTTTGCTCCAGTGAGCTGCTCGGTCACACATTGCAGAACACAGCAGCTACAGTAATGTGTCAGTGTTACGCCTGAGGTTCCTCACAGTGATACCTGTCAAACACAGTCCGCTCTGGATGGATGGTGTATTTGGTAATGATGAGCACCTACTGTACTCAACATCACTGCACTTGGTATGACATTTGAGTGCTCGTGTTTACAATCGTACCGTCTCGTTAAATCATCATTTTAGTTAGGTTATGTCAGCGTGGTGACTTTTCCATAATTAGCACTTAATTATTTCAGATTACCACTTGAAAATTAGCTAATGAAGGAAAGTACAGCCGTGGCTCATAGACAGGTCTATGTTTTACAAACATTTTTTGCCGACATATTGTACAAAGTAAAATTCTTGACCTAATGATGGAGAGAAAAAAAACTGAATTCATGTGTTCTTCTGAAAAAAGAGAAAATCGTGGGGAACACCAAAGTCATGAATATTCACTGTTTGGGTGAATCTGATTACAAAAATCAGTGCAGAGTCCAAGGTGCATGATTACAGGTGAGGACGAGAGAGTGTGGAGTTACTCTACTTCAAAGAAAGTTTTACCATGAAAATAATCAGTCTAAAGGGACTGGAAATAGATCAGATTTCTCCCATATTAGTTTGCCTTCATTTTCACATGATCAGATCAAATGATCGGCACGGTGATATCTTAAAGACTTTACAATAACATATTAGCCAAAAGAAAGCACTCTAGTCTCAGAGCTCAGATTTACTTGTGTCTCTTTAAATTTCTAGCAGTAGAATAGGAAATACAAATAGAAGGGGAGGCAGAGCCTCAGGAGTCACACACTCTCTCTACTCCACAACACAGATAAATAAAGTTAAATTTACGTAAATATAATTAAACATGTATTTTAAACTAAACCCAGAGAATTCCATTTCAATTATTCCCAGGAACTTCAAACAATCTGACTATATTATCTGTGTTTAGTTTAATTACACACAATTAACTATACTAATAGTTCACAGAGTTTGAAAAGGTAGCATTTGGGGTTTGTAATGGCTGTCATATAAGTGGCTCTACGAAAAGGCTTGCACCATTGCACCATCCATCTATAAACCAATCAATCAATCACATGGTCTAACATGTGGCAGTATGGTTTATACTATTTCAAATGATATAAAAGGTTGTCTAGGGTGGAAATGTTGACATGTAAATGTGTTGTGTATGTTAATATCTGACCTTGTTGAAGTCCTCAGCTGTGGCTCTCATCTCCTTCCAAGTTTTATTAAGCAGCTGGATGCAGACACAGAAGAACTCCTCCCATGCCCGGTCATGGGTGAAGAACATGGGATGATAATCGTTGCAGCCCTCATTAGCTACACAGAAGAAAAGATTTCTAAATGAAAAACATGAAGCATGAGGGAGACACACTTCTTCCATATCACACCATTTTGCAATCGAGGAGCAAGTTCAATATCAAATTTAACAAAAATGTAAAAAACATTAAGGGATAGAGTGACACTGAAATACAACAGCAACATATGCAAAGCTGCTTACGCAGTTCTCCAACTTGGAGTATCTCACACAGCATTCGAGTAAGTTCGATGGCACAGCGACCAAAAGGACACTCGTGTTTATCTTCTCGGCTGCTGTTCTCCAGAACAATCTGTCATGAGTAGGGAAACGTGTTAACATGTTGTGGAAGACTTTGGTGGCTCTGTAAACTCGGCAAAGTCATGCATGAGACCAGCACTGACCCTGATGTACGTGTCCTGGTGAACTTTGGCTAGATACAGCATGTTGTCCAGAGCCAGCATCCCTGGTGGCGTCTGGGTAAAGTCCATAGCTGGGTTCACGTGGTTCTGCATTTTAAATAGAGATAATGTGAGTGAAGAGACAGAAAGAATTGCACCAAACTGGGTCGATTTCAACCTCCAGATCATTCCAGAAGAAACTGAAATCTCTAGCGGAGACTCACAGTGAAGCCCAGCATCTTGTAGTCCTTGGTGTACATGGCCTTTCTTTTCTCTGTGCCAGTGGGGTCGTTTTCTCCATCGAAGGCAATTCTGCGTAGCTCAAAAATGATGTCTCTCTGAGCCTGTGAGAGAAAAAATAACATGTTTGGAGCATATTAGCATAAACAGGAACACACAGCTGCAAAGGAATGAGATGAAAAAGGCAATCGGCAGAGAGTGAATGGCTGTAAACAAGCAGTGGAAAAAAATACAGGAAAACTTTAATTTTCTGGTCCACTTGTTACACTTAAAGCAGCTCTGACAGTGCACACGTCACTGGTAGAAGGGTGTCTCTAATTACACTTTTTCAGGATCCTGCTGTTTCCATTCAGCTGAACATGTTGCTTCTTTAAACATGCTCCAGACGATCAGATTACTTTACATTCAAATCACACAAACCACTGCATAGCAAATTCATTATTCCACTTTTTTACCTGGTCATTGGGATCCATTTTTGTCATCATCCGTTCTTCCAAAAGGTTAAAAGTCAACACCTGCAGCACATATAACTGATGTGCCATTTCTGCTTTGATTGGTCGATTTCCTCTGATGACGTGCTGGAAAGGAGGAGCAGAGGGATTTTAGCTGAGCCTTTATGATGGCTGCAAATTTGTAAACAAGCAGCATATCATATGAAGCAGAACAAACCAAAGCTACTGATGGAATATAACAAAAATGAATTGTATTATTTTTCTAATTAGAAGCAAGATAAGCATTTTTCTGACATGCACCATGATTACAATTTGTCTGAAATAACAATAAAAAATAAAATAGCACAGACATTTATCTAGTGGATAACCAGGTCACACTAACAGTGCATGAAAGAGCACAATGGTGGAGCTGCTCTAGGACATTTCCTTATTCCAGGAGGCTTGAGTGCAGCACTTCCTAACTTGCAGCCATTTGCAGCCAGTTCAACCAGGCGCTTTCAGACAAATGCCAAAAGGAATCATTTTCAGAGGAGATTTTGTTCCACTTCATAGACTTGGCCCCATATCACATTTGCTGGTTCTGTGTCACAGCCCTGCAAGTGAGTAAAGCTTTCCATTTTCCAAATTGTGACCAGCTCTTTGTTCAAGGGTCGAAACCATCACCAAACGCCAACACTGTAAAGTCTCAAAGGAGGATGAAAGCAAGTATTGTGTATCACCAAGGTTTTCGGGAGTTTTATTGGAAGTAGTTCCTGACACTTTCAATGGGAATTGTTTAAAGTACTTGGAAAGCTTAACAGCCATCAAATGAAAGCTCTGCTACGTTTTAGTGTCTGAGTTTCAGACTTGATACTCACATTGAGGATGATGGAGCGCAGGTGTTTCTGAGCCAAAGAGCTTGCCATTTCCTGAGGGAAAAGACAGACATTACTCCACAAAAATCAATTTAGGAAAGATGATTTACTACAAACTAGAATCGCACCCAATGATAATTTTACTGACATCGACCTATGGATAAATGAGAAATAATCTAAAGCTAGATTTTGATCTATGCTTTAAACCATTTGCCTTTCGCACCTTCTGTAAAATATCTCACAGTCGGTGACAAGTCTGTCTGCTGGTGCAGCAAGCTATGGTTCTGGCTTAATTTGAGGGTTTATGCAGCGGCTTTCCATGACACAGAAAGGATCAGACAGTGAAAGAGAGGTGGAAAAGATGATATGAGCTAAAGAGGGATGTGTACTCACGGTGAGGTGCTGCTCCAGCGGGTTAGTATACTCCTCCTACGGGTTCAGAGTGGGAGGAGTAGTGTGGGTGTAACAGTAATGGAAATAAAACGTGCACGCACATGGACCATGAGATACATCACCGTCACAGCATGCAACGAAATAAGAACATGAAACAGCATCAAATAAAAATCAGCAGTCACACATCACCTAATGCACCAGACGTAAAGTACGTTTATAAACCATCACCCACGGCAGGATTTATCAACCCACAGAGTAGCAGGATGATGCTTAGAACTACCGTTAAACATGCAAATCACTGAGGCTTACTGGCTGCTCTCATGTGTGCACTGTAAACATGTTAGTCTCTTCTGATTCCTCCCTGCCTCTCTTCTTTTATAAGAAAAAAGAAAAACATCAAAAACTGATGCGGAGAGATCTATATATCTAAAAGCTGAGGTGCTACTTTATGCGTATTTGCTAAATGAGGTGAAAACTGGCATTTACACGGTAATTACTGTAATGCCACAGCGCGAGCTAAACACAGGATGCATTTCTGCTGTTTCTCTAAGTATAATCACTTCGCCCTCCAGTGGTCAACAACAGCAACTGGAGATAAATGAACATTAAAAGCCCTTTGCATACCGTTTCCTGTTACGGCAAAAACGAAACTGGTGCACTTCACAGTAAATTAAGGAAAATACTTTATCTTGAGATTAAATATAATTGAGTGTACACTTGAATTTTTTAGAACTTTAAAGCTGAATGAGGACTGAGGATTTTAGCACCTTTGCATTTGGGAAACTTTAAGTATAAACCAGGTGTTGCAAATCTGCAGCTGCACAGCCTTAGTAACAATTAAAATCACTAAAACTAAAAATAACTAAAAAAGTAATATTAAAAAATGTAAGGTGTCATGTTTTGCTGTTGAAAAATCCTTTAAAAAATGTAAACAGATATAGTCGATTTGTGTAAATGGAGGGTTTGTACTAACAGAGGACAGCAACAAGTAATGTTTTTTTTAGTTTTATCTAAATTCTTTGGCTTAGTTAAAACATTTTAATTGAGAGTTGTAACTCAGGAAGTAAAGCAAGTTGTTTAACTAATTGGAAGGCCTGAGGTGTGATCCCCAGCTCCTCTAGTATGCATCTCAAAGTACCCCAAATTGCCCAATTGAGTGTGTGACTGTTAGGTTAAGATCATGAATGCGTTTGTGAGACTGCCTGTAGTTAGAAAGCGTTTTGCTCAAACCGAGTAGAAAACGTCTACATACTGTAAGTACTACTACATTTATTATAGGACGTTATTTCAAGAAATGTTGTGTTTTCTATGTTACAATACAATTTCTGGCATAAACTGCAAATCAAAGTTTACATGGAGAACAATAATTTAGAAAAGCACACAACTGCATGTAAGGTGTATTAAACAAGGTTAAACTCTGAAGCATGCTGGAGTTAGGAGAGAGAGGACGGATGGCGGTGACAGGTGGGACAGAAACACTTCCATCTTCGGTATTTGTACATTTATCTGAACAACAAAAATACTCGAGATTCAATTTGTTTTTGTTCGAATCTCCTTGAATCAACTTAAAAACTGAAAATAGAAATAGAAACGCAATGTAATGTGATGTGATATATTACACATGAATAACATTGGGAACAGTCCTTAAATGGAAAGAAGCTGCTTTCTTAAAACTCATTGTTTTCTGTTTTCTGCCTTCTTTTTCTAAAAGACGCAAACAACCATCAGTCGCTTGCAGATGGGTGGCCAGTTAACCTCACTGAGCTGCTCTGGAAAAACTACAGCAAAACAAATGTACAAACTTCAAAGGAAAGTATCTGGAGTGAGACTGTCATTGCGGCGATGGCTGAATCCACAGCGTGACAGCTGGCAGACAGACGTCTGTTCATGAAATTAGCTTTAATTGGCCTACTGGTGCGCACATTAGAAACCACGGTGAGCCACTGTCTGCAGCTCTCTGACACCACAAATGTTATGAATCAATGTCTATTATGTAGACATATGTTTCTTTAGGATGAAATATGAAGATTTTATATTAGTATATCAGTTAGGTCTGTTAGGTCGGTCCTTGTCTCTGTGCTGTTAGTGCAGTGCACCGACCTGCCGTCTGTCCTCTGGTGCCTTCAGGAAGAGAGCATTGATGAGAGCGATGGCGTACGTCTGGATCTCCTGGTTTGACCTGAAGGAATATCCAGCAGCGCAACAACCAGTTAGAAGTAGCATGCTCTGCAAATCTCCACACAGGAACAAAACTACAGGCTAACTGCATAAAAAAATAGTCTAATTACCATTAAAACAAACACCTGGGATGGGTGCAGGATTTTTAGAAGCGTCTTCTTTGCACCAGTCTTTAGTTTTGCTATGTGACATTTTTCTAAACTTTGGCTTTACTCCAATAAAAAGACCAAAACCAACTTTAAGTTTATCGTAACAGAAAATGCTTTTTGATCTTATACCTAATATTATTAGTGAGGCATATATGATGTGGATATGTACATAGGAGGGATAATGGATATACTGGACAAAGTATGATGACTATGGAGCTGCCAGGCAGGAGGAAAAGAGAAAGAGCACAGAGAAGATTCATGAAAGAAGTGAAGGAGGACATGCAGAGGGTTGGTGTGAGAGAGGAGGATGAGACAGGGGTGACATGGAGGCAGATGATGCGCCCCCTAAAGGCAGTATCCAAAAGAAGAAGATTCATTTTCATTATTTCATAGGGCTCCACTGTTGTTCATAACACAAAATGTATCATCATTATAACTAGCACAGAGATTTGATTTGATTTTGCGAGTGACTCATATGCAGTCGTGCTGCTGTGAAAACTCACCAGAGCAGGCATGTCAAACTCATTTTACATCGTGGGCCACATACAGCCCACTTTGATCCTAAATGGGCCAGAACAGTGAAATTCCCCATCCTGTCAGTGCAAATACGTTTATCTACACATTTAATCCCTGAGATATATGTAAGAAACAGAATTAAGCCCAAGTGTTTGGGGTTAAATTGTGAGAACAGTATTAATGGCCATGGAGCAGGTTTTTATCAGTAGGAAAAGCTGTAAAACATATGAAAATCTATGCTCTCTTTGCCTTCTTCTTAAGTGAAAGGTCTGCATCGGGACAATTCTGGGCCCCGGGCCTTATGTTTGACACTTGTACACTTGAGCAAACAGAGCAAATTAACTACTTAATGTCACCACTAACATTCACACCAGGCATTCCTTCATCTGATTATAACGAAACTGGCAGCCTGATACATGCAGTAAAAGTAGTTTCCATCACCACTATGCGTCAGGTTCTTGGTTAGGAGTTCTTTGAGTTTTGGTTAGTTTGGTTGGTTCATGGTGTTTTCAGCATTACTTACTGCGTGATTCTTCAGCTGTTTTCCTTCCTCTGTGTTCCCTGACCCCCTCGCCCCAATTAGTCACCCTGCCCACCCTGTGTATTCAGGTTGTATGCTTTCTCCATGTCCTGTGTTCGACCCCCTTTTGGGGGGTTTTGTGTCCTCCTAACTTGTTGGTTTTGGTCTTTTCATGGGAGTTCTCAGCAACAACAAAAATCTTATAACAGCAATGCTGTTTGATTGGAATCGCCTGTGCACCCATACCCATCCACATAAACAGAAACAAAACTCACAGCAACTTTTTCTATCCAGTCACCCCACACTTCTATACCCTCCACTTTCCCCCATTTCAGAGCGCAGGAAGCCCCTGTGCGTGTGTGTGTGCTCACACTTGCAAGTGCCCGATGAGCTGTCCCACGGTGATCTCCTGTGCCACCCGATGGTAGAGGCTATGGCTGTTCAGAACCATGCTCTCGAGGATGGCCAAGGAGCGCTGCAGGATGGACACGTCCACCATCGGCTGGTTGACGTAGCCCGCAATCTAAGTGAGCACAGAGAAAACCCGTTAACACAGAGAAACAAATTTTGTTTCTTTGTTTCATTTCTTGGCTTATTTGGTGCATTTGGATAAAAATTTAGTAGAATATTTTTATCCAGTACAAAGAAAACAAAATCAAGAGTTCTGCAAAATTCTCCCAAGTGGCTGCCAAGGCTTGGATGAAGTTTTCCAGAGAAAACTATTTACATAAACACAGAATGAGCTCCAAATTATGTGAGTAGTTGCTCAGCAACAGTACCCACACATTTCCGGCATTTGTGTAGAAAAAGAGGTCAAAGAAAGAAGAACTTGAAGTTTAGTTTTGTTTTCTTAAAGTGGAAAGTTGTACAGTGGTGTTTCACTGAAATGAAAAATGTGTCCTATGAATTGTTCTTTTGTTGGAAGAAGTACCTGCTTGATGAAGGACAATGAGATAAGGTCCCAGGACACAATGCCATGATCCATTAGTTCGAGGAAGGCAGTGAGAGTGAAGGCCAACATTTCACCAAAGCTGAAGGGAGTGAAGTACAGTCAGGGCAGGCCTTTCAGATCACACGTTAACATTTAGATTAACTTTACAGAAATCCTGATACGAGGGCAGACTTTAAAAAGCCAAAACTTATCTTTTTGACTAAGTGGCTTTATTTGACCTCCACAAGTAATTCAACTGTAGTATATAAATAAAATCACTAAATGAATGTGAACTGAGCTTAAAAGTGCAAGTAGTGGATTTAGAGGGAAGCAGCAAAAGTAAAGGAAACTGATGTTCTTTAAAAATTGCTAATAGCCTTAGCAGTTTACAGCACTGCCATTAAGCAATGCCAAGCTTTGCAAATTCAACAAAGATGATACAACACACAGTCAGATGCACCTATGGTATCAATTTCAAAATCTTACATCACCTCCTTCACAAGTATCAAGTAGTATAAGCTTTTCAGAAAACCTGACCTCTGACCTTAAGAACAAGGTCACCAATGGTATCAGTTTGAATGGCTGAGGGGTAAAGAAACTCACTGAGTGCCGCTCTCCACAAGACGAGCCAGCGTCCCAATGCCTTCCATGTTGATGAACTCTGCAGCAAAGGTTGGATCTGCGGAGAGCTTGGCGAGCTCCTTCAGAGCCTCGAGGCGAGCATCGATGCCATGGGACTGGATCCTCTCCAGGAGCTGGCGAGCAGCACGAGCCTGTCAGAGACAAACACGATCAATCAGTGTCATGATACCTTCATCACCTTGTCCAGGTCACTGAATTTACTGTAAACATATATGGAGAAACTTATAGCCCATGTGGAATAATACATTTTAATAATTTTCTATTAGCTACAATAGCAAATGTTAATGTGATCTTTTATGAGACCAGTGTCTTATAAACTGCAAGATATATACACTAACCTTTTTTTTTTTTAGGTACACCTTGCTTTTATTATTTAACTAAAGATCAGCGGTTTCTGAAATACTCAAAACAGGCCTGTCAAGCACCAACAACCACGCCTCATCCAAAGTCACTTAAATAATTTTTCTTCCCCATGCTGATGCTTCATTTGAACTTCAGCAGGTCATCTTCACCATGTCTACATGTGTGAATACACAGAGTTGCTGCCACGTGATTGGCTGATTTAATGTTTGTAGTAATGGCTATTATTGTTAACAGTGAGTGCACCTTATAAGACATGCAAAACATAAGCATTTAATATATTTTTGTATTTATTTTGTCACACAAGAGAGCGCTTCTCCAGCAAATGTATAGCTATGGCACTTAAAATGCCACATTTTTCACTTACAGGAGAAATTGCTAATCGAAGAATGGTCCCATTCTTGATGTCGCCACGACTCTGAAAGGATTACAACAGAGTTCAGTATCGATTCATAAAGTCCTCATCTCAAGATTAGGAAGAAAACAATGAAGCTCACCTGCTCAGTGATATAAAGCTGAGGACCATCAGCATAACGCAGGGCAAACTGCTCTGAGCCAGACAAAGACCAGCTGGAGACAAAAGCAGAGAGAAAATGTTTGCTAAAGAATTAATATTCAATATCAGTTTTGAATACTAGGAAAATAAAGAAGAAAATTAGTAGAACACACTGTAGAAATGTAATGCAATGCAGCATACTCTGGTATGCATGAACAAAAGGTTGCTCGAAGTCAGATTGTTGCCTTCAGCAGTTGTATTTACACGAGCAGCAAACACGAGAGGCTGTGGAGGAGAATCACTCAGTGGGTGTTTACAGTAAAGTGCAAAGAATTTTCTGTTTCAGATGGTAAAAGGAGGCAGTGGGTAGATGGAGCCAGGCTAAGAGCTGGATGGGTGGGATAGAATCTGTAATAGCCATCACTTAGGTACAAAAAAGTCCAAACACAACAATGGGGGTTAGAAAGAGGTGAGTCGGGTTATGTGTGGTGTTGCAGCAGTAAGTGTGGTCATCATAAGCATTTTCTCATGTTTAGCTTTTCCACATAGACTTTCACGACGCAGATCTAAGAGAATGACATGTCTCATCTTTTTTCTGGGCTTTCACTGCTTCTTACAGTTTAGTTAGTTAACTAATGTGCTCCTTAGATCTTCCATTTGATTGAGCTATCTGTAATAAAGCTTTCAGTATTATAATTACATTCTACTAATCACCAAAGTCTAGTTCATTATAGCTACCACTTTAGAAACTAAATAAATCTCAAATATTTTAAGTAATCCTGCAGAACATACCTTTGGAAACAATTAAAACATACAGGAGTAATACTTACCCATCGCATACTTCCCGAATTATTGAGGACAAAGGTCTTTTCTGCAAAGAGGGGAAAGAAACTTACAGACTTGAAAAATTCAACATTAAAGGACTTAAAGGAATCATGAATCATCACTCCTCACATGGCACTATCTATCAAATCTGCCAGTTGGGGCACTTTCGTATTTTGCATACATGAAATTTTCACATTAAAGCCGCACATAATTTCCTCTCCTTTGTTACTCCCCTTCCTGTTATGCGCTTCGTTTATTCTTCACTCAACTCTTTACAGCCCACGCATCTCTGCATTTAATCATTAGTTATTATAAATCTCTGGCTCTCTTCCAGTGTGTCTTTTGGCCCGTCTTCCTCCCCTCACCTCCCAACCACTCATGACACATGGCCACCCCTCCATGAGCCCAGTTCTGCTGGAAGTTTCTTCCTGTTAAAAATGAGTTTTTCCTTCCCACTATTGCCAAGTGCTTTCTCATAGGGAGTCATCTGATTGTTGGGATTCTCTCTCTGTTCCTGTAGGGTTTTTACATTATAACATAAAGAGCCTTGAGGCGACCCGTTGTTGTGGCACTACATAAATAAAACTGAACTGAATTGAATGATTCACTGTAATAGCTAGAAGAAGATAAGTTCTTAGAGGCATTGTGAGGATTTATGTCATTTGTCGTACTCATGCATACCTGGTCCATCTCTATTAGCTGAGCATTGGCACCAGGCCATTCAATAGCCACCTTCACGATGTCAGATGGGGGAGGCATGGCCGTGTTTTAGTTAGCACCCTGTAGAAAAACAAGGAAAATAAATAACACCAGTCATTCAGAGACTTTCTGAACCACTACATTTAAATGTTACTCTTCAAATAAATGATGATTAAAAATACAAAGAACTGCCTTACTGAGCTATGTGGAGTCAGACAATGAGAATATTAGTATGAATCTAGGGTTGTACATCACCTAACTGATAACTGTTGAAAGCGTCAGTCGCTGTCACAGCTCTGCTGCATAAACCTCTGTGTCAGCTCCCCTGTGAACATAGAAAAACACAGCCTGGTCATGCAGACCCAAAAGCTCAATTCGCTCAGTTGCTGCATTTTCTCTTCAGTGAACTGAATCTGTCAGAGAACAGATCAATAAGCATGACTGTTTCACAAAACCACCCACACAAACACACACACACAGTCACATAAATATCTCGGCTGGGTCAAGCTTTCTGCCAGCTGAGTCTGGTCTGCTGAATTATGTTGCCCTTGACATATCTGCATATTATTTGCAAAGCATAACCTAATTACCTTCATTTCCAGCTCGCTCTGCACCCTCTATGCAAAAACATTATTACACCGGTAAATTATTACAGTTTAGTTATTACTGAAAACGTCTCTTTTATTTCCTTTTCACATTTAGTATTTTGGCAATGAAGAAGTAAAGATAAATAGAGCTTGTACGAATCCAAAAACTGTGTGGAAAATGGTTATTAATTGGAACAATATGGGCTGTTACCTTCTGGCCATCTGCTCCGTTTGAACTCAAATTCCTTTATAACGCTCACTCTCGTGTAGCCTAATTCAGTTTTTATAACTGTTCTGACTTTTATTTGCACTCTTGTTTAGTCAGGCCTCACCTTTAACACCTAATTTCAGCAGAACACTGACGCTTATTAAACATATTTTTCACGATCTGCAACAGAAAAAGCTTGACGATACAAAAGCAGGAAGAGCACAGCAGGGACCGGTCTTTGGCAACACACCGATATCCCCCTCTGCTCAGACACGAGGCGAGCAGGAAAAGCCGTCTGATTGGGAGACAGCTGTAAAGAAAAGAAACACTGCTGTTTCCCAAATGGCTCTTTGCATTCAGGGTGCTTTCAGGATACAAAGCGCTTTGTAAAGCTCAGCTACTCATTTGCGAAGTAAAGCACTGCCCTACTGTTACACGGGAGACAAACCTTTGTGAAACGAACTGAACCAACAACTGTATTCCCTAGAGATTTACCAGCGTAGTGATATTTCCAGGACAGTCTTTCTAAAGAGTTTGAATGTTTGTTCTATAAATACATTTGCCTGCCATTTTATATGATCAGTGGATGTGATGTCTGACACCGTGCTCCTTTGATCAGTCACGAAATAAAGCAGTTTGTTCTTGAGTTTAAGTTCATTCTTTAGAGAATGCAGCCTGAGCTGTCAGTATATCATTGCACCGCAGATGCCAGCTTCTCCTGATCAAAGTTGGGATAAAGATTTAAGCTCTTGTACTTTAAATAATTAGCATGCACTAATCCTTTAATCTTTGGACCAGGGGATCACTCAAATGTGATAGTGTCAGAACACAGCTTAACAGACTGATGCACAGCATTAACATTTACATCAAGTAAACAAGTTATCAGTGGAGTCTGAAAATACCACTGAGTGAATTATGCCTAAAATAAATATTGATTATGATGAAGAAAGAGGAAAAATTAATAATACATGACAGAATACTGGTTTTGCAGACTGTCCATTATATAATCTCTGATCTCTAATATCTGCTAAAAGGCCTGTTCTCTTACAAAGAAAATATAGTAAAAACATTTTCCACATGTTCTTGTACTGATGTACAGCACTAGAGTTGGACCAGTAATCTGGCATACCGGGCATTTTCCCGGTGGGCCGACGCACTTTTGGGATGCGCCGACAACAATCCATTTGTTCATTTTTATTACTGACACTGGATCTCCCAGTCAAATCTCTTAACACGACCAGCTCTTCCCCTACTGTCGCTGTGTGCTCACGCAGCTTGTAGAAAAAGTTTTGTGTGGAAGAAGTGGCGATGGTGGAGCTGAGAGAAGACAATAAAAAGAAACTAATAATAGATACAGCAAATTAACTGCTGCTAGCACCAGCTGTGGAGAAGTGAGGAAGAGACAAGGAAAATTCAATTAACGTGGTAAGAAAATACATAGAGGGACATATTTAGAAAGGGAGAGACTCAAGGATTCGGGTAAAATGACCATGAGCCACTACTAATAGCTAAAGCGTAGCTTTTAATTATTGTCACATGCTGCAATACGACTGCTTCAATATCCATAATCAAACTTATGCCATCGGCCAGGGATGATTTTTTGTCCCAGTCCAGCCTCCAGCCCTATTCAGCAATGACATGTGGCTAAATATCTGCACAAGCAAAAAGTATCTGTTACTATAAACCAGGGGTCTCAAACTTGTGGCCCGCATATTGACGTTATCTATGACCACATCTCAAAAGTGCTCTATTGGACTGAGACTGTGGAGGCCATTTGAGTACAGTGGGCTCATTCTCATGTTCAAGAAACCGGTTTCTTGAACTGCTTCCAGTTTATCCTGCTTGAAGCAGTCATCAGTATGTGGATACACTATGGTGATAAGGTGATGGACATGGTCACCAACAATTCTCAAGTAGGCAAAAAATATCTCCCATTCTATCACACCAGCTTGAACTGTTGATACACAGCAGGATGGATCCCGGCTTTCATGTTGTTTATGCCATTTCTGACCCTACGACCTGAATGTTGCAACAGAAATTATCAGACCAGGCAATGTTTTCCCATCTTCAATTGTTCAATTTTCGTGTGAATTGTAGCGTTAGTTTTCTGTCCTTAGCTGACTGAAGGGGCACTCAGTGTGGTCTTCTGCTGCCAGAACCCATCTGCTTGAAAGTTTGACATGTTGTGTTGCCGTTCAAAGACATTATTCTGCATCTTTACTGTACTTTTAACGAGTTGTAAGTAAGTTACTATTACCTTCCTATCAGCTCAAAACAGTCTGGCCATTCTCCTCTCACATCTAAACTTAATAAAGCATTTTTACCCAGAGAGCTGCCATTCTCTGTAAGCCGCCAGAGATTTTTGTGTAGGACAATTCCAGTATATCTGAGCATTGTTGGTGTCAGATGGGCTGGCTGACACCAACAACGCTCAAAGTTGTTCACATTTCTTCCCCATTCTCATCCTTGGTTTGAACTTCAGCAGCTCATCTTGACCATGTATACATGTCTAACTGCATGGAGATGCTGCAATGTGATTGGCCAATTAGATATTTATGTTAATAAACAGCTAGGTCAAAAACTGAAACCACAGCCAGTGATGAAACACAACAAACACATGAGCAATAGTGGTTAGTAAAAGAGTCATGTATCATTTTGTAAAAGTAAAATGAGTAATATTTGTTCTTATTTGCTTGTTCCCTGAAAGACAAAGATTACTGTAACTAACCAACTGATATCAGGCATATTTCAGGATACATTTCTGTAAATGTAAGAAGTTACAATGCATTTTTTCAGCCAGAATTTAAAATCAGGTATCCCTTGTGCTTTTCTTACTAAACATATCCAATTATATTCTGTAGACAAGGTTTGTGTTTTTAGTAAATAATCTCCATTGGTGGACAATTGTTATTAATAAGCTCTCTATGGATAGTCTATAAATCTGCGTAACTTAGTCATTCAAGCGAACCAGAGGTGCACTAGAGGTAGGCAGCTTGGTCCAAAAAGTATCAATACCAACACTGGTATTGGTATTGAATTAATAATAGCACAATAGCATCAATACTTTGTTTTTAACCTCTATGTTCAGTATTTTGCCCGCTGAACTGTGTTAAATACATTATTTTGGGGATATTATAAAATATGTCACGGTTTTTGTGTCGAATGTCACATCTATTTTATTTATAGCCCATAGGACATTTAGACATCAGAAGTTGAACCAAAGTCCTTTAGAAACAGACACGTTTACATCACAGGTCCTCATAAAAAATGAAGTGTGTTTTATTTTTTTAACTAATTATTGCAGAAAGTAAAAATCACAGTGGTGATTAAAATGTGCTCGGAATTTGCAAACTGATGGTGATTCACCTCATAAGTGATGACACATTGCTCTTCCCTACATAAGCTGCATTTCTAAGTTAAAAGTATCGGTATCGGCAGTACTGGCACTGTATTTACTTGTGATCGATACCCTTTACTTTATCCCACAGGACTATGCAGTGACTACACCTGTGTTTCTCCTTCCTCGACATTTCAAAATACCTGCTGGTTTTGTCCATTTCTGGTGACTGTGCACAGAGCAGACATACTGATGAAAAGCGATGGGAACTATTTTCTTTCCACTTTCTGCGGGCCTGTCATCTGGCTGGTGTGACTGGATTCGCGGCTGCCGCGCGCACTGGGAGCTTTTTATTTGGCTGCACGCGCTGTGGTGGTAGCTTAGCAACTACTGCTAAGAAGCTCAAGCCTGAAAAGAAACCCAACAGTGTGGTCGGAGCCTAAATTCAAAAGACTCCCAACTTTTTGTATCCCCCCGGCGCCACCAGCTACTTCTCACCGCGACCCGGATGTTTCTGACGCCATTTTACTGTGGTTTTAAATGTGGTTCGGGGCTCCCATCCAGGCCGGTGGGCATTAAAAAACGGGTTCACACATGAAAAACTGAGAAGCGCCTAACTTTGATGACAGCTAGTTGCCTACTTGATCGTGCGCAGTGGCGCCCCTTCTGGTTATACGATAGCTGCTGTCTCAGGAAAAAAAAACAGCCTTGGTAATTTTTCTTAAAAAAACAAAAAACAATTAAGGCAAATTTATCTTCTGGTAGCCCAGAGTGCGATAACAGTCATCCTCTGGCAATTGAGAAGGCTGATGTCTTCTTAGCAGCTCATTCTCAGCCATCATTAATATAACATCCACGCTTGTTTAATCAGAAACTTAAACTTAAAATGTTTAAAGCGTAATTGTTGGTGATCGATTAGTCAGGATCAGAGCTGTGGTTAACAGAAGCCCACCGACTGGTGCATTGAAAGGCTGCATTTGCAACCTTGTGATGTTTAGCGTAATCAATCACAACTCATGATCGTGTCGTTTCTTTAATTAAACAGCAGCTAACGTCTCTTGCTGTTCTCTGCCTCAGATTAATAGCAAACTTACTCGCTATTACAGTGAGCACCACCGTTATTCCTCAGAAGGCGGCTAGTGTTATTCAATCATCCAGCCCAGCCTGTCCCCGTCTCCTCCTCCATTGCAGTCAGGATACAGCCCGTCACCCGAGCAGAAGATGCTCACCGGCTTCGCCGGAGGGTTTTAACGAGGGGTACTTATCTGCTAATGTCATACTTGGTGCTACTCACCCCGTGTCCTGGCCATCGATGGTGCTCTCGGTATCTCCCTCTGTCCCCAGTGGAATCCTCGTGAAAAGGAGACGCGGTTCCACGCCTTGTAGGCGGGACACCATGTCACCGTCTGCAAATGAGGCAGGCTCCTCATCATTTGTGCACTCTCTATCTGGCGTCTCACTTTAACCCTTACATACTGTTCATATTTCACTGTGTGGTCCGGATAGCTACCGAATGGTTAATTACAGATCAATTTAGAAAAGGATAAATGGTCTGGCTTTAATAAATACATTATAAATCTTTAATAGTAGTTTCAGAGAGCGGGGAGAATGTTTTAAAACCTAAAAGATCCAATTATTCTTGGAGAAGACCATCTGTTTTCACACAACGTCATGCCCTGTTTTACCCAAGACACGGGGAAAAAAAAAACAGCCATAATGATTTAAATGGATTTCATTAAAAGTGAAAATAGGAGGAACTTTCTGGAATTGTTGGGATATTTACTTTAAACAAGTACTACAATCTTTAAATGCCATCCTCACTGCTATATCATCAAATCGTTTTTTTTAATTCAACATTAACCAACACAAAACATAAAAAAAGATGCTTATTGCAAACTCAGTAGCAGTGGTAGGAAAGTGGCAGGATTTGCACATTTCATCACTCACTGAAGGCACCTCAGATGCTTTAACAATCTTATGACCTCACCAACTCCTTTTTCCATCTGTTTTGATCTTAGCAGTCAGCTCAGAGTAAATGTGTCCTAATTTCTTTAAACTATCAGTTTATTTTTACATTGATTTCAGTTATATTGCACGTGCAAATGTAATGTTTGCTTTCATATAGCACTTCTAATCTTACCAGAAAACTTTATACATTCACACATTTACTTCAAGGATTTATACACCTCACCTTCAGCTAATTTAGAATCACCAATTAACCTTAAAATCTATGTCTCTGGAGGAATGAAGGAAGCTGGAAAACCTCAAATAACCCACCTAGGCACAAGTGAGAACATGCAAACACCACACAGACAAGGAGTTGAACTCTCTTGCTGTAGGTCTTTCTACGAGTGTAGAGGAATCCTAGATCTCTGTTCCTCTTGTGCACCATGTATGTTCACGCTTCTGCTGTTTCACGGTTTTGAATGTCTCCCATGACCGCTCAAAGCACATCTGTGTCTGCAGCAACCTGGACAAATGTGATGGTAACATAGTTGTCATGACAGTGCAAAGATCCTCCTTGAACTCTGTCACCTCCACTACCGTCCATCCATCTATCCACACAATCAACAGAAGACTGCACCACAAAAGCATTCACAACACATTTTTTTCTTTAATTCTACACAGAAACATGTGTACAGGAGAAATATCCAGAGCCTTGGGGGAGGGGGTACGGTAACACTGGCTCACCTCAGGATGGCTGCTGGTGAAACTTGAAGGGTCAAGCAGACGACTGCACTTAAATTCACTTAGGAAACAACTGAATGTTTTTAGCATCACATAACATCTCATGCATGACATCAATTTCTGACATAATTATTAGTTTAGTCAACAAACACAGACATACCCATTCTCAAGTTATCCACAGGCACAGAAAATGAGCAGAACTGCTGCTCTGGAAAGTTCAGAATTTGACTCACTTCATGTGGCAAAAAATACAATCAGTTCTTTTAAAAAAAAAAAAGAAAAAAATATTTTAAGTCATTTAAATGCATTTTGATAACAAACAAATTCTGCAAATCATCCAAAAATCAATTACTAGTAACCCCAGCAAGAGATTCACTAAAAGAAAAACTATGGTATATCAGGACTAAACAGTTTAGATACAGTGAGAGCAGATCAAAAAGAATTTATCCATTTACTGGCAGTCAGTTTTATGCCATAATAAAGTTAAAAATAATAATAAAACAGTTGACATACTTCAGTAATACAGGGAAAAGTTGAGGGTAACAGTGAATCATTTGACGTTATCTGACATATACACAAGTAAAGTGGCACCAGTATCAACAGAAAGCAAACACAGCTGTTTAAGGCTTTGATCACATGACCAGACATGAACACGACTGCAGAGGTTTAGCAACACAAATCTTCCAGGAGTGATTATTAAATTTTTTTTTTTCTTTACAGCACCGCATTATCACTGAAAACAGACTGACACTGTAGACTCATATTTGCTGCTTTACTGTTACACTACCAGTGGTGATAAGGTCTACAATAAAACAGTGCTAAAGAATGAAGAAAAATAAAATAAAACATGTTCACTAAATTAACCCAGGCAGTAAAGCAAAGACTTCTTAGAGGTAGGAAAATGGTAATGGAGCATTTATTCTTCAATAATCAATCAGCTAAGTGTTCGTGTCCAATGAGGACTGTCTGCAGGAGTAAACAATTGGCCAATAAAAGCACCAGGAAATGCAAATCAATCATGTTACTTTTGATATTAGCAAAACCTGAAGTTGTAATTGGTTTAGTGACATTAAACTAGTGTTGTATGAGGAGATTTTTTGCATGAAAAGCAAAAAATTTACAGGGTTACAGGAAATGAAAGGCCACATAAGAAATTAGCTGATGCAAAATTGCCCTATACTTCAACCCAGACACCTTACTAGAGCCCAATTTTACACTGATTACATTTCCGCTTGTTGTAACCATGAACTTTTAAAAAATGCATTTGCATCTCTGATGAACAACGTGAGCACAGCTGCCATTTAATCTGACCGAGGGATGCACTAGGTTGATTAAATTAATTCATAACAAGCATTTGAGAGCTATGACCATCAAAGCATCCAGCATATAATGAGCCTCATTAGCATTACCCCGCAATTCAGATGTTAATACAGTGTAGAGATATCGGTGACACAGAATCTTCGTAATATAAACAACGACCACAGTGCAACAACACTCGACACAGAGATGCTTCGTATGAGATAAAATCTATAATGACCTGTCACCAGCTATGGTCACGAGCTGATAATAAAACAGTCTAAAAATCCAAACTTGTGTCCAATTAATGACACACAACCATCACCCTTGCATACAGTACACAGAGTATAACCAGCAAAGAGGACCTCTCGTGTGAAATTATCTACAATAAACTGTATATCATCTTTAGACATGACTTATTAAAAATTTCACAATATGTCTCTTGAAAACAAAACTAGAAATCTTTAAATACATTTTCTTTTGTTTAATAATATGAGTGATTACTCTTATTTATTCATTCATTAATAAGAGAACTTGATCAAAACACCTGGTCCAACCTGAGCCCAGTCTAAACCACATTGCAAGTGAATGCAGCCAGATCTGATTGCATGAACTCTAATGGGAAAGTTCATTCTGTTTCAAGTCACTTCAAACAGCTCTGAGGTCAGAATGAGAGGAAAACACACAATATTGCAATACCACCCCCATTCTATTCTAGCATTGGCAGGTATTCCGGGCATATTTATTTAGCAGTTTAATTTAAGCAGTGAAGCAAATAAAAAACAATGTTGCAACATAAAGCAACACTACTTGAAAGGATGTGTAACAAAAAATAAAATAAAATATGATGTTGGATGTGCTTAAAAGAACATTTTAGTGGGAATTGGGCCTACAGACAGGTTGTGCTGACTGAAAGTTAACTCATCCAACCAATCAAAGGGCTTAAAAAGCTCGCAAATGCAAAACGGGGGTCAAATTCAATGAAAATTTGATTTCAAGTTGGATTTACCCTAAAGCAGCTGTTTTAGCAGAATGGCAGTTACTAACTTTTAGACATGCCAAACTTCAAAGCGTTCCGTTGCCTTCGCCTATCTGCACTTTTGCTGGTGCAGATAACATGACAGTGTTGTATCTGCAGGTCTCTACTGGGAAGATGGAAAGAAAGGAAAAAAAAGCTACTTGCTCATTAAAATGAAATTAATTAATACCATGAGGGAGATTTATTCTCAACTCATTATACATCAGATCATTTTATTTAAACTGTACGTGACCAAAGAGATTTTGATTAATGGTAAACACGAGGTGGAATGAACTTTATTATGTGAAAAAGTATTTTTGATCCATTTTACAAAACAGAGATGAAAATGTTTAAGGGGCCAAACCTGATTAAACACAGAACATAAAGTTGTTAGTGTTTAGATGGTGATACTGTATTTACAAGGGTTCAAATTTACAACATCAGATTTTCTCTTTCATGCTTTGTTTTTTTTAATACGGAAATTAAACCTGCGATCCAGTATGAACAGTGGCTTCTTAACCTTTAAGAGTATTATACTTGGGGAGGTCCAGGCAGTACATTATGGTCTGATTTAGCTCAATTCCCTTTAATAAGGACGATTTACAATAATATACAGGACTGATATTCAGTAAAGTTATGAATAGTCGTCTCATGATGAGCTCAACTCATCCCTGGGCTTCATTCTTTTGCTTCTAGGATAATAAATATATTTTAAATGCATTAACAGGATCAAAGCTAATGGAGCTTTCCCTGTAAGTGCCGTTGAGATGAACAGAGAGAGTCAGAGGGAAAAAGGCCAGAGTAGGAAAAAAGGTAAGAAGATGTAGATTTGTGAGGTCACTACCAGTCTGCGTTCTCCCAGGTTTCCTCAGCAGGTTTCGTGGGACTCTTCTTTGTCTTACCATCTGCATTCTCCCAGTTGTTGTCCCAAGCCTCCCAGCTCTCTTCTGTGCTGTGTTTGTTGTTGGATGCTGCTTCAGAGCCCCAATTGTCCCAACTGTCAGAGCTCTTCTTGGCAGAATTATCTGCAATGGTCCAGCTGTCACTGCTGGGAGATTTCTTAGCCTTTAAGGAGCTGTTGCTGCCAAAGGTCTCCCAGAAGTCCCTTGCGACAGGCTGGCTAGAACTACCCTGATATCCCTCAGTGGCATCCATGTTTTGGTAGCTCTCACCAGCAGACCTGAACATAAAGAAATGCTTTTACAGGCCATAGCTTACAGCATTGCATCACAAAGTGCTTAGGATTCTGAATATGAAACATTTCATTTATTGTGTATTAAGCTTTTTTTTTTTATTACCCATCTTCTTGTTTTCCAGAGAACAGATTAGTCAGCTTTGACCCAGCTCCCTGAACCTAAGGAGGAAATAAACTATTTATGTAAGTGTACCTGTACATGTAAAATACCTTATTTTTCATTCATTCAAAGGTCAAAGAATAACGTAATAAAAAATAATAAGTCCTAACAAGTCCATTACGACAAATCAGTTTTTACTACACAATCAAACAAATTAGTTTTAGCAAGGCAGTAATATTAAAATGACACAAAAACACATTTTCTAACTCTTTTACATCATGTACTCACCACCACAACAAAATGGCAGCAAGAAAAACAAGAAATTAAATGTAATTAGTATAGTTCAAACTTAACGGCACTGCAAAACCAGTCTCCTTGGAGGACTAGAGCGTATAGTGTATCGGGGGGCTCCGGCAGTTTTGGATACTGTTTGCAATAGCAGTGCCAGGGCTACCGCTCCTCACTTGGGAGACTGGTTTTGCATCAGCACAGTGTGGCAGATGTCTGCCATTCCTACCTTGTTTGCCAGCCCAGTGATGCTGACTGCCATTTCATCTAGCAATTTGCCATCTTTCACCTGGACGAGCCAAATTATTGTTAAAAACTAATAAAAACAACAGTCTAATGAAATACGTGGTGAAGAGCTCATTTTTGATTGTGGAAAAAAAACAATACAGTTTTTTTGTTTATTTTTTTTAAACAGCACAGATGATTTAAAAGAAGAGGAAGAAGTAAGACAGTAAAGAGTGTTAAAAAAAAAAGCACAGACTACAGATACATTAAATTAATATTGCCAACACTACATTAAAAGACAAAAGCATTTTGTTTCTGTCGGTCTCTATTAGTCACTGGTCCACTCAAAGAGAATAAATCACTACAAAGCATGGTAAAAAGAGGCACCCTTCTATGTGTAACAGTTAAGATTGAAAAGTCAATTAGCCTGCTGATGCTGGAATTGAATTTTTAAAAAAAAAGAAGGAAAAATACTTTTTTCTTTTCTTTTTTTTTAAGAAAAAAAAAAAAAGATGACATCCAGGAGCTGCTCACTTGGCAGTTAAATCTGTTAAGCAGAAGCATTGTGTCAAAAACACTTACTATTACTGCAAAAATGGTAACATGTGTTCTAATATTACATGATGTCAAAAGAAAGAAAAGAAAAACAAAACAACAACAACAAAGCTCAGACACACCAAATCCCCAAAGATAACGAGCTGTGGCTTTCAAATGAAGAGCTCCAGGATGCATCACGTCTTGTTTACTGTGAGGAGACAGCCGGTGGTTTTGAGATTGCATTTTGACCTGAATGCAACCAAAACCAGCTCAAGCGTAACAGCTTTGAGCCTTAACAGCACTCAGAAAACAAGCCACGAATTTTCAGGAAGCTTATGGTACAAAATAAATAAATAAATAGTCTGTTGCCTACAGAATCTATGCATGCTGCTGTCTGTTTATAGGGAATTCACTGCGGCTGTCACTGATTCAAGAACATAAAAATGGCTCCAGTAAAGCAACACCAAAACCTCGTAGAATAGTCGTGATGTCATTTTGTGCACTGAAAGCTGGAGACTTTGAACTCAGACATGACGTGAACAAAGAGTTTGGCTGTTAAAAATGTTTGTGCTATAGGCTTGATCCAGTGACAGTTCACACTGACTCACACACATTCCCAAATAAACAGCTCACAGCCGTACGCTTCTGCAAATCCCACAGCTGAGTCACTGACTGAGAGAGAGAGACAAAGCTTTGTGTTCCCCCCCCTTTCCATCTTTGAAACTACAGGTTTGTCGTTTAATGTTAGTTGGCATACAGCAGATAAACTGGCACAGGCAGGCAGCGGAGAAAATAGCACATTCACATCTGAAGCTGTTTCGTGTCTAAAAGCACTGCATCCCACCACCAAATCAACAACTTCAAACATCAATGTTACCTTTTCTTGAGTAGGTTTGATAACATTCTCATTTAATGTCTGTCCTAACTCAGTGGCCTAGTTGGAAGTCAGAGAGGAGAGTTCACTTGAATGAAACAGTTTAACATTCACAGTACTGCAAGACACTGAGCTGCTTGTTCTGCAGTAGCATGCAGCCTGAGCATTCCCATCCACCATGACACTGAACAAGCACTAGAGGGTGTAATGGTTCAAGACACTGGCAGCATGGCACATCTATAACCCCAAATATTACGATATTTTTGCTTCTTACTCTGTGTGTTCAATTCTACAGAATAGCATCAAGGACTCCCCACGTTTTTTCACAGAAACCAATCAGGTGTTTGCATACCATTGTCCCTCTTCAGCGCTGTTAGCAGTAAACACAAACACTGGCATGCATAAAAAGGATAACCCGTAATCAGTGGATGTGAGTGAACAGTGCTTCTGTTCACTCCTATTCCATTTGTCCTAAAGGTTATCCATATATTCCAAATTCAAATATGAGAAGAGACAAAATGCCTTGTGTTTAACCAAACAGAAGCACATGGAGACGACAATTCTGACAACATTTTTTGTTAAAGGTTTCTTTAAAAGTGTTAAAAAAAATAACTAAAAAGCAGACAATAATTCTGAAAAAACAAAAATGGTAGATACATATTTAAAAAAAAAAAAAGATATACAAGAAGCACCATGCATTTACAAACTGCTTTACCGGTTCTGGGGGCGCTTTATAGCCCCTTAACTAGATCCACAGAAGGCAAAGAGATAGTAAAGTAGTAATACAGTTATTGCTTGTAGGTTTATATTATTAAAATATTTACAAGCAAATGGCATACACATGCTTATACCATCAAAAGAAAGAGGAGACTACTTAATACAGTCTGTAGAAGAGTCAAAAACCTTTATTAACAGGAGCAATAACTGGCTACTCGAGATGCGATAGACTTACCTTTAAGGTTGCTTGGTTTGCAAGTTTAGTTGTCTGCATGAGAGGGACAAAAATAATCACCATTTAAAGTTTTGTTTTTTTAAATACACAAGTTAAATGCCCAACATAAATTCTATGAAAATAAAACATCTTTGTGTGGATCAGATTTATAGTTTTTCTATTTTCAGTTTTTAATTTTTTGGCATTATTAGTTTCCGGTAATGTCCAGAGTGTACTGGCTTGTTTTGGTTTAGCTTTTAAAATGTTCTGTTAGTTGGAAAAATGTTCATTTTTACTCTTGCTAAATTATTATGCTATGGACTCTATTTCTCAGGGCCAGATTTAAGATGTTCAGTACAGAGGCCTGTACTGCAAAGCAGGTTTTTGTTTTATCCAGGCAAGTTCAGGGTTAACCCTGGGGAAGGAGGGTTAACTTCTTTCTAGGGTATATCACCATAGTAACTTAGGCTGCAGACCTAACCTGCCTCAGAGCAGGTTAGGTTTCAGATTAGAGGTCAACAGGTATGAAATCCTACTGGCCAATCACTTCTCCAGGAAATAGCATCACTAATCCTGGCAGGTCTTTTGGACTTCAATGGGCAGACAGTAGGAGGCTCTAAAGTTATACTTTTGTTTTGTTTTTTTGGTTCGTTTGTTTTTCTCTGACAATTACACACCAATGGGTTTACACAGCTGAAAATGATTAAAACTAAAACTGTCACATGCACATTTAACCATTAATTTAATAGAATAATCTATCAGATTACAATGGGCAGTGTCTTAATGATAAAGTTGTGATACTGATAAGTGTGTTAACTTCTTAGACAGTCAGCGCTGTTGATGGCTTTCCTTCAATGCCTTCAAATAGTTTAACCTTCATAGTAATTTTTTCCAGTCTAACTGATCAAAACATTTAAATAAACACTTTCACACAGTGCATTTCCTCTTACTTTCACTCAAACCACTGCTTTTTCTGCAGGAGCTGTATTAATTTCTGCCTCTTCATGTTTTTCCAGAATTATAGTTTGCCATCCAGCCATGTGTGACCACTTAGCCTGACATCAGCAATCAGGCTAAGACAATCCAGGGTAGAGCCCAGCTATTACAATACAAACACCTCACTTAAAATAGTGTAGACATCTTGCTCTCAATAAGCTTATGCAAAAATGCCTGGTTTTGTTGATTTTGGTATCACATTGAGAAAAACAAAATGAATACATTTCCTATTCAGTTTATTATTAAATTGAATGAGTTAACCTTTGTTTGAAGTCACTTACATTATCTTTGGCAATAGAGGCAAACTTGCTAGCTCCAACAGTAAAACTGCTCCAACCCTGTTAATAAAATGTTTAAAAGTTAAGTTATATTAAGAAAGAAAAAAAATTAAAATACAGTTCAGCCCACCCCCCCAAAAAAGTGTGTCTTGACTTACTGAATAAATAGAGGACATGGCATTGTTCAGGAAGTCCTCTTCTTTCTTCTCTGGGGTCACTGTGTTGCCAAATCCAACGTACCGGTTCTCTTGATTCCCACTGTAACCACCTCCACTGAAAAAGCAGGAAAGATTTTTTATTTTTATTTTGAATGTACACAAGCCAATAGAACAAAGATTCATAAAGGAAACTTAAATGTACAATTAGCAAAATTTCAGATATTAGACAAGGGCAACAACATTTCAAACGTCACTCATTACTTTGGATTTTATCCATTTCCAGAAAGGTTGTGTACATGAGAGACAATAAATCAAGATACAGTCATAAATATGAAGTCAAGCTGGCATTTTTAAATAATTATGAATTATCTCTCAAAGTCTCCACACTGTAGTTTGCAATATAGCTTTAACGTTCATGTTTTTCCTTGTATGCGCAAGTTACACCAATAATTACAGGAATGACACCTTATTCTCTGCCAAAGATGTCACTGATATACACTATGTATCTCTGCATAGCAAATAGTCATTTGCTGCCATATTAATGTTTATAGAAAACTTTAAAAACCTACCTCTGATAAGAGTTAACATCATCACTCAGCCAGTCTTCAAAAGCTTTATCACTGGATTTCGCCGAGTTCTGTCCAGATCCTCCAGAACTAAATTTTACATTACAGAAATATCAATTTGCTGTTTTGATGCCTGCTGTTCTCTATCTAGTATCAGACCCAGCATTAGTAAGTTTAAAATTTCTCCTTCATTCATACCGATGAGAGGATGAAAGAGTGCTTTTGGGTTGAGGGGACGTCCAGTTTCTTGCAGGGGAGGTCTCAATGGACCACTCCTTTCCCTCTGCTAATGTTGCGACCTGTCAATGCAGTGATGAACAAGGGTGAAGATGTTAACGCAAACTGGAAAGCATTATATCTAAACATATCAAGCTAAATATATCTCATTACTGAGGATATACATTTATAATTTAAACCACAATTTCGTTGTACATGTACAATGACAATAAAGGGCTATTCTATTCCATTATGTTCTATCCGGTCCTCTGTGAGTGGGTTACTGGAAGAAAAAAAGCATCAGGAATAATTAAGAACTGATGTGTGAAGCTTACCTTGTCCCTGAAGAGTGCAGCAGCTCTGCTGTTGTATTTCTCCTGCAGAGTCCAGTTTGGATCATAATCATCTTGCAATTCAAGAAACAAGCGGAATTTTCCATTTCCACCTGCTTTCATTTTCTCCAGTTCAATATCTTTCCACTTGTCCATGGTGACCGAGCGCACAAAACTGCAGACGGGGAAGGAAAGATAAAACTGCATATTATCAGGCTGTAACAATTTCTTTGTGATCATTTGAAGGAATACACAGACTACTCTGGACTGTTGCTTGTAAACAATGTTCTTCCAATAATGTAACATATTCACAAAACCAATCCATTATACACTAGAGCATTTGATTAAAATGTATTTTTTTAACTAATAACTGTATGTTATTTTACTATAGTAAACTTATCTCAAAGTTTAACATGTCTTTGTAGTTTGCCAAATATCACAAAAATGTGACTAAAGTTAAGAGACACCATGACTCATCACATTGTTACCTCAGATGTACTCCCAGGCCCCTGTGCTTGCCAGAGCACTCGAGACAAATCCAGATGCCATATGTCACACTAACCCACTGAGGGTTAAAAGCTCCACACTCAAAACACAGCTGAAAGAAAAAAAAAACCCAAAAAAAACAGATGAATATAAGCAGGTAAAACAACAACAACAACAACAACAACACACTTCATATTCAATGATATACCCTGGAGTTCTTCATTTGATTTTCTCCAGCAAAAAGCCAACTAATGTTCTTACAAACAAACTCTATGATACAGTTTTTCCTAATGTGTGATCTGAATATTAGAAATAACCTTCTCTAATTAAACTAGAATGTGTGCCCTCTTGTGATTCATTTATTTGGGGCCATTTAGAGGACGATAGTGCAAAAGTGCAACCTCTCAAGGAGCTGCTATCTTCTCTGTAAAGTAGAATAAAAACGTTCCGGTGGGCTGAGATTATTTTGGTTAAGAACTGAAGTTAAGCCACATGGATCAGAAGCTTTAAGGACTTACATTATTCTCATCCTGAGTTCTCACTTCCTTCAGAACTCTTCTGGTCCTTGGACTCGCCATGATGACTCACACTGAAACAAAATTGCAGAGGATCATCTTAAAGACAACTACTGGAACAAAACTACTAATACAAACCCCTGAGAATTAATACTCATCAACCCAACTTCATGTTGCTAAGCAACTAATTAAATGCCACCAATACCCATCATCTGTTTCCCACACTGAAATCACACAGTCTCACTGGAGTATCACTTTATTTTTGTATTCTATTATAGAGGGCAGGTTTAATTTGTGAAAATGAACCAACATATCCAAAGGCTGGACAGCAATCAGAGGAAATGTTTAGATGATGAACTTTAAAGGACCTGAACCTGCTCCACAGGCTGAAGCCATGAAACACACACAGAAAAAAGCTGCAGTAGGAGGTCAAAATTCAACCAAATATTCATCAAACCACGAGTTACTGCTGACAAACTGTAAAAGTTTATATGAAAAATGTTATAAATGTAACTTTTTTAATGCTTTTTGTTCACAGGAAGAATGAATCTAACATTTTATTGTGAATTCAAATTAAAGCATTAATGAATTATCAAATATTCACCTGATTTTCTGCTGCATCTGGCAGTAAGTATGCACAATGTGGGAGGCTACTGCAGGTAATTTAGCCACACCATTTTACAATCATGAAACCCCTACAGCTTCTTTGTTTTCACGTTTTTATCTTTGACCACGGCACAGAGACAGCATCAAACTAGACCCCTGCCCAACATGCACCAATCACAATGATTCTTATAGCTTCTCTCCACAACCTCAAACAAACTTAATAGATTTATGTAGTAATTACCATCAGTGAACACAAAATGTATTGTTTAAACTGCAGTGCTCCGCCATATCAGGTCATCATTTAACCATTTATAATGTCATTCATTGCACTTTTGGTACCCATTTTTAAAGATTAACACTTTCATAAATATTAATGGAAATAGGACAAAGTAAGTGGAATTGTTTTTTGTTTTTCCAACTGGTTAGTTTACTAATAAAAGAAAAGTATGAGTATTATGATATTTGAGAAGCTGAAACCAGTGAATGCCATTTAGGGTATTCACTGATCCGCCCTCCCCAGACGTTTTAGCCAGAACCAACGGAAATTCCCAACCACTGAGTAAACCACTTCAAAACAAGCATATCATCTGTTTTCTTTATCAGAAAAAATGCATCATTTTCTGTCAAATACAGTAACAAATAAACACCAAATGCCTTTACTGTATGCAGACCAGACACGCCTATGTATTTAAATACAACCCTGCCTTTGTTTCCTTGTTACACATTAATAAAGGTCATGAAGATTAATGAGCTGTAAAAAATAAAAAATGCTGACAATTAGTCTGCTTGACTGGCTAATCCACTGCCTATCTAATCTGTTCAATAATAAAAGATGCTGATATTACATAACAGGGTAAACCAGACATCTGAGTTTTACCTGAAGCAACATCTACCAAGTCTTGCACATGTTTAGCAAAAAAAAAAAAAAA